ACCCCCCCAGCCACACTTCACTTATCAGTGTTTTATTTAAGATATATTAAAAAACACTGATAACATCAAGTTACTGGAACAGCTGGGATTTGTCCTGTATCAGTTTGGGTGAAGTGTCATGCTCAGGAGGACATCACATGTCCCATAATATACACTCCCGTTTCACTGATGTGCACGAAGCTGGTGGTGTTTATGGCCAGCGGAGAGCATTATATAAGAACAACACCGCAGAACTGAAGAATGGTAAAAGGAACCACATACCGATGTCATTAACTATATGTTTAATTTGCCTGTTCTTCCCAATCCAAAGCCAGGCATCTCAAAATTACCTCAAATGGGTTACTGTGTGTAATTACGTGCCACATGATGGACTGGCATCCCATACAGAGTGCCCCTTTCCTTGTGCACTGTGATGGACAGGCCTTCTGCCCGAAGTGTGCCCAGTGATGGGCAGGCCTTCTGCCCGGAGTGTGCCCAGTGATGGGCAGGCCTTCTGCCCAGAGTGTGCCCAGTGATGGACAGGCCTTCTGCCCAGAGTGTATCCTGGCCTGTGCCCTCCTCTGGCTCCTTCACTGGAGGCTGAAACAAAAAGGGGGTTAATAGAACAGTGTGTATTAAGTAGAATATAAATGCAACATGATCCACTGCAATAGTTCAATGGTGATGGATGGCCTGAGATTAAAGGGCAGCCAGGCTGCAATGATGGCTCTATCAAGCTGGCAAAATGGCACATCCATCATGGAAGCATCTCTCCAGTGGAGTGCGCTAGTGTCCCCCTGACCACCGTGCCTGTGCACCTCAGCGCTCATGACAGGACGCAACAGAGTGCAGGATACAGCCAAGGGAACCATCTAGAAAAATCCTAGCCGCTGACACAAGAGATGCAGGGGCTCCTGACTGTGAAGCACGAGGATCACGTTTCCTGTTGGGGCCACGAGGCAGACACCTGTGTGTTTGGCTCCAGTAATAAGAAACACAGAAGTCAGCTGCAGTAGTGTCTCCATCGAGCTGACAAACTCCTGCTGGAGCTCAGGGGAGCTTTGGGTCACACCGGGGCCAGGGGTCATCGTCAGTGGTCAAGTTGTAAAAATATGTCAAGGGGGATCAAATCGTTTGCGGGGGGTGATTGTTTCAGACAAGAGTCTGCCAGTTGTATCCTCCTGATATAGTCCAGAGGTTTCCCTTTACAGGAGTGTAATCATGCAGAACACTGCAGGTAGATGCTGAGGGGAGATGGTGCATTTTCAGAGGAGATGGGTTTTGTCATTTTTTTTCCACAAGGGGTGGCATCCACGTGCAAGCATTGGTCAAGGTGATCTAGTGGTCCTCTGCAACTGTGGTTACTTACCATACTGGTGTCTCTAACTCAACATATTGTTGTGTATTTAAGTGTGGAGCCTTTGAGGGACACCCTGTCCAGGTGACTTTCTGCCTTGTCCATGCTGGAATAAGCTGCATATTCACCATAACCCTGCACCAAGTAATGAAAGACAGATAGAAATATTACTCTGCTTATATTGTTACCCTGGGTAGCTTACACGGGTAGCAGAACTAAATGAAAAACGGATGAAATAGCTTGACGTACAGAATGTTTAATAATAACTAGTGTGAATCGCCTGTGTGGTCTGATTTGGTGGCCAGTATCTCATCCCACTGGTGTACTTGAGAAGATGCACTTGACAGTGCATCTGTAGGTCTGCTTATGGCACACCCAGTCCACAGTGCTGGGGAGGATTTATGATGCCGCAGGACCAGGGTAATCAATCCCCCCCACCCACCCCACACAGCTGCAGCTGGCTGTCTCACTCCAAGCCCTCGGCCATTTATCCCTTTTCATCACTGTCTCTCAGTGGGACGTCAGCCTCCCAGGCTTATTGGATTCTCTGTGTAATGAGGAAGGAAGTGCATTACTGTAAGAATAAGCCTTCCCCCCTCCCGACACCCTTAACTGCTCGACACACAACAAGATCCGGGACAGCTGTGACACATCAGCTCACCTGTCCCCCGCATGTCACTGAGCGTCCGGTCTGCAGCGCTGCTGAGTCCCTGAGGGGCTCGGTGCTATGGAGGCCATCATCCAGACACAGGGATGCTTTAAAGGGACAGTCACATAAAAAGCGGGGGCCGGGGAGTGGGGGGCCGTCTGGCTCAGTTCGCAGTGACTCAGGGTTCAGCGCTCGCCTGTGATACGACGCCACCCTTCCCAAAGCACTCAGACAGCTGCGGTCCTGCGGGGAGCAGGTGTGACCTGAGGTCACAGCCTGGCGTCGGCGGCTGCCCCGGGGTCACTCCTCAGCCGGGCTACCGGGTTACGCATGGTAAACGGATCCCTAACCCTCAGGTTACCAACCAGGGCTGGCACAAGCGAGCAGGGGAATCGGGGAAATCAGCAGCAGCCTGCCCCTACAGCTATACCCAAATGACCCCATCCCTGGGAGCCCAAATCATGTTACTCATGCCAGGGTCCTCTTCCAAACCCCCGTCCCAAAAAGCCTGCTAAAGGAGCATCGCAGAGGCTGGAGGAAGGTGTGTGTCCTCTGCCTGCTGGTGACAGAGACATAGGGGGGACAAAGCAGGGAAAGGTGGGGACCTGCTGGGGACATAGAGGGGACAGAGTGGGGACCTGCTGGGGACATAGAGGGGACAGAGTGGGGACCTGCTGGGGACATAAAGGGGACAGAATGGGCACATATGGGACAGAATGGGGATATAGGGGGACAGAGTGGGGACCCGCTGGGGAAATAGAGAGGATGGGGGGGGGGCAGAATGGGAACATAGTGGGGGCAACGTGGACAGCCATCTGCCACAAAGACACAGAGGTGATTGTCAATAGATTTTCACCTTGTCAACTTGGCTAGAACCAAGAAAAACACAACCCCTATCAATACAATATAATTTATCAAGCTGGGGTTGGGGGTTCATGCTAACGAAAAAAGATTTAAATTTTCCAATTATGGAGGGATATCTGGTTTGCTTTCTTTTGGACATCTTGTATCCCTACCATGTATAGAATTACAAGACACCGTTTTTTGCATGGGGGGAGGTGTTTCATATGGCCAGCACGTATAGTTACAGCAGGAGGATGACTGCAGCTCTTCTCTGATCAGAAAAGCGCATGAATGCACCCACAGAGGCTTACTGTACATCAAAAGGAATTTGCTGTGAGCTTAGCCAGCCCGGGGAGGCGAGGCGGGTGGCGGTGATCTTGCAGAGCCGGATGCCACGGAGACCAGGCACTGGGCATATTTAGTGCCCGTTAGCACACCACGCCGTCTCCTGACACCTCCTGTGGGTCCTTCCTGTGATCCTTCAGACCTCAAACGCATTTATGTGACACTGCAAGCTGGTGCCATTTGAGGCTGGAATGAAATGAGTTTTCAGAATAACCTACTTATTTCTGACCAGCCAGAATGTCTTCCGCTGTAAGACAGTGATGAGTGGCTTTCTTACTGGGGGGGGGCGGTCTAGTGAGAAGGCGACAGCTGATGAGATGGGTGATTCTGCTGGTGCTGGTGAATCTGCAGCTCAGTCCCTGGAGGTATCGCGGGCCGCAGTTGGCAGGGATCATGGACGCCAGCCGTACTTGCAGGGTTATATCTTGCCTCCCTGTTGGAGGAGAAGGGCATGCATGTAATTCTTTTGTCTCCTGCTGGGAGGATGCACCCAACACCTATGAGTCAGCAGTGTTTAGTGTGGTGAAAGTAACAGGGCTTTGTAACCAGGAGGTTTTTGGCTCAAGTCCCCAGTATGGTGCGGTTGTTAAACCCAGGCCCGCTGTCTCGGGGGGACAACTGGGGGGGGCAGGAGAGGGTGCAGGTGGGCGGAATTGTGCATCACTGGGGCCCTAATTTTGCCCTGGGCCCAGTAATTATGTACGGTGGGTCTGGTTAGATTGTGTGTGGATTCTTAATTTTACCCGCAATGCCAAACATAAATATTTAAATAAAGATGTTACCTAATTAATATTTAGAAGGATAGCAGTAATATTGAACATCATACAAGTATTCACCTTGTGTTGAACTTTGCCTCCCTTGACTGTCAAATGCTGCACGTCTGTCTCCTGCCATATGCCCGTGTGCAGTGTCCGCTGCTCGCTGTTCCTCTATGTTTGAGATGGTGAGTATCTGCTTAAAAATGTATTCGGAACAAAAAATGAGGGTTAAATAACGAGCAGCGTGCTTGTTGGCGTGCGTGGGAATTCTCACTATTATACTACAGTGGTTTGAACACTTAAGCGTAAGTAGAGCTGCTCGGTGTTCTGAAATTGCCCGTGACCCGCAGTGAGCAACTTCGTTCTCTTGGGGAGGGTGATCAGGAGAGAGATTTCACAGAGAAGTGGCCTACACCCACTGCATTAGTAATATGACGTGCAGCATGATCTCCCGGGAAGTGCCAGAAAGCGAGCGCAGCCGACTCCTTAAGCAGCGACACAGGTGCTGCACGCTGTCTCCTTCTTTCACTGCCCGCTTCTTAGATGCTTTTAGTCATGACCACTTATGATTTCTTGATGTATCGCACAGCTGAACATGTTTGCTGAGGGAATTCGGATTAAGTGTTTTTCAGACTGAGGTCTTTTCCAAGGTTTGAACCTACCGTGGTTTGCATGGAAGTGGTATTTGCCGGGATTATTCTAGTAACAGCTCTCATTTTGTGGGAGTCACCTACTATCCTCCATGGCCTATTAATGCTACCACTCCACTGGAGCACTTGGCTCGGTCCAGGGCAAGGGGCATTAGGGACATACAGAAGACATGTTGAGGAAAAACAATTGAGGCAGGACAAAAACTTTACTTACACAATAATATTCTGAGGGCAGAAGGAAAAATGATTGGTTCAGAAAGATGACCAATCAAATTGCAGAGAAGGTGGGTCCAAGCAAATAGAGGAGGCAGGACCAAAACATCTCATTGGTTAGTCCCGCCACTCTAGTTGCTTGGACTCCCATGAGCCCAATCCAACCAATGAGGATGCAGACTGCAGCAGGAAATCCCAGCCCCTGCTGTGCCTAACGCATTAGGTTATAATAAAACTACAAATAAGCACAGGGAGTTCTAGCCTAGCTGACAGGTGTTGACAAAGGGTCTGCCATCACTGCCACCCTCGTTGTGCTGCGTAGGCTCACAGATTCGGGCTATAAATCCTGGGCTGGTGACTGAGGAGGTGATCCTCAGCAGAAATGAGGCATATTGGAGCTGTGACCCAGAAGGCAGCCCACTGCGATGGTAAATCGGCAGCATGAGCACAGGCTCAATCACAGGCCCGAGGCCCCGCGTTCAGATCTTTCTGCATCCCCCGACACGTCAGAGCAGATACTCTGCGGGAGTCTGCATCTGCCAGGAGCCGCTGCAGCCGCTCCCACGGGTGCGCAGGCCTGTCACGCCCACGCGGCCGTCTCCTGTGCTCTTGTCAGGCCACAGTAGTGTGCAGCTATTCCTGCTCTCTTTAACGTCACGAGTTCCCAAACTCAGTACCGAGAGGCAAGGCCAAATCCGATTCAATAATTCATTAGTACAGCGGAGTGCTAATGTGCTTAGGTAGACCTGCATACTGTAAGACACGAGAGTCAAGACACACAGCAGACCCATAATCATGAAATATCCATTAAATGCTAACACATTCGCATTTATTAATTTAGCAGACTTGCTTGGCAGTTTGTGAGGCATTCACCTGCCAACCATACTTAAGTGCTGCTAGGCTGAGCTTCCAGTAAGTCAACAGTAGCAGGTTAGCATTTTAGTAGAAACTACAAAATACATTACAAAACATTCTAAGAACCCAACAAACCAACTAGGGATCTATGGGACATGTGCAAAATACAGGAGTATCCACTATGGACAAAAGACTACACTGCCTGGCCAAAAATATTGTCACAAACTAACATTTTGTTTCCATGTGTTTATGCAACATCTTAACATTTTTTAAATTCAGATTTGCATTAATTTCTGGTTGAGATCTTGTTTTGATGATAGGTGAGTTGAATCAGTCTGTAAAGTCTTCTTCAGTACATCTAAAATACTTTCAGTGGGGTTTTGGTGGCCAAATCATGTGCAAAAATTATTCCTCATGCACCCTGAACCACTCTTTGACAATTCGAGCCTGATCAATCTTGGCATTATCATCGCGGAATATGCCCATGCCATTAGGAAAGGAAAAAATCCATTGCTGGGATAACCTGGCCGTTCAGTAGATTCAGGTACTCAGCTGACTTCACTTTATTGCTGCATAATGTTGCTGAACTGTAATAATGATCCAATGATTATTGCTGATTTAAATTCAAACTGTGATTTTTTTTTTGGCCAGGCAGTATATTATCAAGTATTAGCAGACGAAGGCTGAGCAGCTCAGTGGTTGAATGAGCTAATTGTGGTGTTTCTTGAAAATTGAGCAGAATGATTGGTTGTGGTTGGGTAGCAGTGAAGCCTCACACGAATTTATGTAGGTGTCTCGTCCTCGTGGCTATGGTAAATGCACATTTTTGTTCGAAGGGTCAACTTCTCATCCTTTTTTGGAAAGTGTGCCCCTGGAGGCATACGGGAAGGACAGGGATTCCTCTGGGTCTGTTGGACCTTCAAGCAATGCCAGTTGGGAACAATGGCCAAGGAAGAGGTTTCCTGGGGTTTCAGAACTATCATTAACCTTGATAAGGGGTACCACTAGACCATGTTACTCACCCCCTCTTTTCCCCACCAAAAAAAAAAAGAGAATGTTGCCCATTAAAGGACTGGCTCCAGTCACAGAAAGATCTGGCATGACTCCCCAACGATACACCAACCCCATCAATCGACAACAAGATGAGAGAAGTGAGGCAGACTAAACAAACAAAAACATCCCTCTCTGTCTGGGCAATCAGTGTGTCTCAGCACAGTACAGAAGCACTGAAGATGACACCAGCCATTGTTCAGAACTAGATGAAAAAACTATGACTCAGCAACCGTATTTTCTAGACACACATGCAGGTGAGCAGGCAGGTGTCAGATAACTAAGGCTGATATACCGCCGCTTTCCAGCTGAAACAGGAATCTGGTATCCATCAGGGGAATTATGAAGCAAAGATGAGACAAACAATCATTTTTTTTTTCCCAGATACCACCCATGACAGGTTTATTATTAATCTCCATTATGTAACACACACCATTGGAGGGAAGAAAGTTAACTAGGTCTGTATCCCTAGAGAGAGAAATCAGTTCAGAGTCTTAGGTAAAGCCCCACATATAGAACATTTTTTTTGTCCAACTAAACTCCCACATGCCTGTTCGAAACCCCAGTGTCCCAGTCCAGCGTGGCGCGGTTGCCCGGGCAAACTGGCGGATTACCAAAGACGAGACGTTCCTGAGAACAAGAGGAGGCTGTGCCAGTAAAAAGCACGCAGGCTTGCAGATCGCCACGACATGCGCCATAGCCTCAGACCGCCGGAGGGAGGAGGAAGGCTCTGGAACAGGAACTTGCTGGTTTAGGGGACTCCTTTGAGGTCACTGATCGGAGTAGAAGGGACACTACCTGGCTGTTCACTGAAGGGAGGAAAGTGGGAAAGCACACCTCAAGAAGGTACTCTCCGGCCAAAGCGGCCAGGATTAAAAGTCAGATGGAAACTATGGAAAGGAACAGGTGCAGGGCTCCCTCTAGGCCAAAGCGATGGCACCCAGCCCGTACAAGGAGACCTCTCTGCTCGGAAAGAGGAAAAAGCTGCTATGGCTAATGCTAGCAGTGAAGAATTCATGACAGAGATGGAGATCATGGAGAAATGAGCACGACCCCAAACACTGAGCATTCTGCCTCTCTGCAAAATCGGTTCATACTTCCTGTATAATTCAATGAAAAGAAAAAAAAAAAAAAAAGTCAGGCTCGTCATACTCAAGGAGCAACTGTACTTATCAATTAAGCTATTTGCAAAGCAAACTTGGTGGAATGAATAAATAATACGCAATACAGCTCATAAAGTTGATGGATTTTTATTGGGGGGGAAAAAAACTAGCATGTACAACTTGGAATGGATGTAAACTTTATTCAGACAGACAGCCTAGAATACTTGTGCTGAAATCCTACGCTTTGCAGACATACAAGACGAAATCAACACACTCAGGTTGTCAGAACAGAAGATATAAAACGGGAAAGTCGACCAGGATCCCTCTTCGCAAGAGACTTTTTTTTGTTTTTTTTTTTTAAACTTTTAATGCAAAAAGCAACTGTGACATCATTTCAACACCTGCACCACCCCATACCCTCATACAAGCCACAATGAGGAAGTAGTCTTCAGAAGAAACCAACATGCCAAATGTCTAATCTTTTTTCCCCCTTCATTAAAAAAAAAAGTTTTAACACACAAAGTCTCAAATTCCTTAAGCCTGATTCCCACCCTGATTCTCTCCAAGCATTTTTTTTTTTAAATCTCAAAATCCCTCCTGCACCATGCTGAGGACACTAACCCTGCTGTTGAATTAGCACGTTAGCACGTTAGCAGTGCCAGAGAACACCCCGACCTCAAGCTGCATGCAGGAAACGAAGAAGAAAAACACGGCCAGCCCAGTCACTAGCAAATGGAACTCAAGTTTGCCAACTGCTATTTTTTTTGTTTGTTTTCAAGGTAGTATAGTTGGTTATTTTTTAATCACTGAGGCTATACTGATCTTTGGGGACAGGACAACTAGAATTTCATGCAGACCCTTCTTCTTAATCTTTTCCCAGCATGGACACAAGTCCCCCACCCCACCCCCCAACATTCACTTATGTATTCTATACAGAAACAGTATGAATAAATGAACATTTTTGCAAGAGGTAAGTAAAACATTTGATTATTTTTTTCCCTTCGAAGAAGGCGCAAGGAAAGATCTGGAGAGCTTCATTTTGCAGTCATCATTTGTACAAATTCTGCAAAACACAAATGCACAGATGCAGGAGTTAATGCTGGATATCTGACAGGAAAGAGGGGTTGGGGGGGGGGCGAGGGAGTACTTCTAGTGAGCTGTGAATTATTACTGTTAGCGCTCGCTATCCATCTCGCTATCGCTAGTGTGAAAGGGAGGGATTGGGCTCATGTTTCCAAATTTGTTGGAGTTTTTGGCCCCTAGCAGATGGGGAAGTGGCCCTGATCCTCTTGGGACGGTAGTGCGTTTGGCTCGGCCTACTGGAGCTGATCACTATACTAACCTGATTATGTCAGATGGTCCTCAAGACTGAGGTTACCAAGGTTTAAAATAGGTGGGAAGACCAGCAGACCATTCAGCCCACCAGCACCTGCTCCAGATCCACTGGTCTGAAGTGGGATGACATGCCATAATGGCACGGCGATCCACACCAAGGGACTGATAACTGGGAGGATGGTGGCAAGTCAGAGAGTCGAGGAGGAGCGTGGGGGAAAGGCAGACTATTCAGAAAGGGGGGTGGGGGGGGTGGAAGGCTGCTCAGCCAACACTTTGTCTTACCTTCGTAGTTGACTTGGCCGTCCCCGTCGATATCCGCTTCCCTGATCATCTCGTCGACCTCCTCGTCCGTCAGCTTCTCCCCCAGGTTGGTCATGACGTGGCGCAGCTCAGCAGCGCTGATGTAGCCGTTGCCGTCCTGCAGGAGGGAGTGACATGCAATGGCGAGTGTCGGCCACAAAGGGGCATGGCAGTAAAGGAAGCTCAACCAAGCAGAATAAAACTAACTTATACCTCTGACTGTAACAAGTCAAAAAAGTAAACACTAGAACCTAAGCTACACGATACCTCAAGGTGGATTTACTAAGCATTACAAATCTGATTTGAAAATAATTTAATCAAGAGCCACTTTTCAGCTCAAATCATCATCCATCTAACTGCAATTAAAGTAATGTAACGGTACAACACATTCTCCTCTGGGATTTAAGCCTCCAGGTTTGAGGTCACAGTACAGTCAACACAATACCACCTCCTTTGTCCTGAGGATTCTTCCATCTTGCGGGAAGAAGCAGGTGTGTGTGAACGTTACAGAGGAAGACGACCTTCAGTCAAAGGCAGGGCACCAAAAGAGCCAAGGTGGAGCCGGTGGATGGTAGGAATCACACACCTTGTCGAAAACCCGGAAGGCTTCGCGGATCTCCTCCTCACTGTCAGTGTCCTTCATTTTCCTGGCCATCATGGTCAAAAACTCCGGGAAGTCGATTGTGCCATTACCTGGAAGATGAGAGAAGTCTCGTTAGCCTTCCTCTGTTAGCATTACTGCTAAACCCCCTCGTTAGGCATTAGATCAGAATACACACAGAAGGTACCCTACGGATTTTGTTCACTGTCTCAGAGTCAGATTTCGCCTTAAGATCCTGTGCTTGGCAGTGAAATTGTTGCTGAGGCGGCTCTGTTGAAAGTGGCGGGATTCTCAGAACGGAGCAACGCAACTCAGCCAAAGTCCTCGGGACTTTGCCTCCCAAAAAGGCCACATGTGAGTGGAACTTCCAAGAAACGTAAAGGCACCACCCAGCTGGGTACTGCCAAAATCAATGACTTTATGGAGAGAGGGGGTGGGCTTCTGCCATCAGAGGCCAGGGGCAGTTGGATTTCATAGAAGCCATTATGACTAGCAAAGCATAGCATAGCAGAGGGCCAACACCCCATTCCTCCATATCTGGCAAAAACAGGAACTGGTTGCTTCTGACTCACACACAAAGGGCATACAGCAGTATGGACTCCTCATGCATCCAAGTGATGAATCTTTAGATCTGAACACAGAGTACTGCTGGATAGATTTGGGCCTTTTCACGTAAAACAGCCAGACACCCCCCCTCTCCCAACACCCCAATCCCCATGGCAACAATCACTATGTTCAGCGCGCTCGCCAGCCATCCAGTTTCAGGGTGAGCATGTGACATGGCATTCCATTGAGAGCAAGCACCTTACAGTGAGGGGTTTAGGAAACGGGGCTTATGCCATGCCGCAAGGGTGTTACTGTGGCAGCGATGCTCGACAACAAGCGCCCCAAAACATCAGGACGACGACGACGCGAGTGCACGACGCAATTCACTTCCAGATTAATGACTGACCAAATGTTTAATTTGATTGACCTAGAAAAGAAACCATCTCCAAATTTAGTATACATATCAAATTAAGCTCAGCACATAGCGGTTTTGATTCGCTAGGTAATAGCGTTCCTGAAAGTGCTATTTAATGATTAAAAAAAAAAAAAAAAAAACTCCTCACAGTCACGCATGTTCTGGATAATCCTGGACATTGTGTCACCTGAGAGCACCACATACAGTGTGGAAGCACTTCAGAAACGCTAATGCTAATGGATACTGCCAGGACTGTAGTAAGCTGCAAAGTCTGAGGCACGCAGCAGTCAGAGAGGCTCATCGCACCCTGACAGCCACACCCAAGTACCCCTGTCCCAGGCCAGTTCAGGATCTATCCAACTCTGGGGGAAAGTGGGCGGGATCCTGGCTGTCAGCCAATCGGTCAGCTGCATTCATTATGCTAATCCGGAATTGGGCGGCAGCCAACAGGAACACCTGTTGTCAGTCGACTCTTGAAGAATAGCACAGCACCGTATCTTATGTTGACATCAGAGGAGCAAGCCACCGTTGGCAGACAGTAAGTCTGGGCAGGGTAACTGGGCGGAGATTCGATGCAAACACGGTGCCCCGGGTGCCACCGAGCAGCCTGGCACTCACCGTCTGCGTCTACCTCGTTGATCATGTCCTGCAGCTCTGCCTCAGTGGGATTCTGCCCCAGCGACCTCATCACCGTGCCCAGCTCTTTGGTCGTGATGGTGCCATCGCCATCCTTATCAAACAAGGAGAAGGCCTCCTTGAATTCTGGGGAGGGGGGAATATGATTACATACACGGTTTAACAGGGTAACCCCAAACATCGAAAGTGTTAACTAGATCATTAAGATAGGTTCTCTTACCTGCAATCTGCTCCTCTGTCAGTTGGTCAGCCTGAAAGAGCAAAACCAGAGAGAGACAGGACTTATTTCACCAGTCAAGACAACCCTTTGCTTTTCCTGCTCGTCTTCCCCATACGGTTCAGATGCATAAAAACTAAAATAAAAAGCACACTGATGCACACTGAACTTGAAGGTTATAAAAGTCATTTCAGAGGCACCCCAAAATGATTTACATGTTGTTACTGGAGAGAATTAGGTCAAAGCTCACACTGAAGGGCACATCAGCCTAAAGGGTTTCTATCATCACCTAATACACCAATGCCACAGTGCCTTATGAGCTGTAAGCAGCATTAATGAATAAACTGTTCCGAGAGGCCCAGAGAGGCCCAGATAAGAGTGTAAAGTACCATTTCATATCTGGAAGATGTTGCATAAGTCACCATCCTGGCATAGAGAGAAAATAAGGAGCCAGTTGTGTTGTGCTATGCTACCATCAGAGAGAAGCATCAGAATGTGCTTGACTTTAATGACCTTGCTGCGGCCAGAGAAGATGGCATGAATAGTTTTACCAAAAAGCACTAATTCTCAGCATGAAACAGGCCACTGCGGGTCCTGCACAGAGGACGGTCAGGACAGACCGGACTTTCTTTGCACTCTGACCATTACCTAGATTCTGCTTTCTTGACATATGGGACACCAACGAGAATGACCCCCCCAGGGTCATTAAGAGGAGTATCTCTCAGCCCAGGCCTCAGGGATCCCCAGACTGTCCACGATATATTTCTCCCTCATAGGGAGCTGGGAGGGAACAAGAACGAGGACCGTCTGGAGGTTCCCGAGGACCGGGTTGGAAAACACCCATTTAGAATATCTTGGGCTTTGTGAGACAGGTCTAGCATATGACAAGCACAGTCCCAGTTGGCGACCCCAAGGCGAGACGACATAACCTGCAGGTAGCTCCTCACCTACTGGACAGAGTAACCCTACAGGCCACGTTATGACACTTGTGCTGCCCCCTGGTGACGGGGGGTGGCAGCACATGGCAGACGCTTCTGAGGAACACAAACAGAAGAGCCACCACCTGCTTCCAAAATCCCTCTGACTGCATCCTGGGCTCTCTCCCAAAATTTTGCTGAGAAATAGACTAAAATCAAAATTGGAATGAGTCTTTCGGCCACCTGTTCACCCACATTCATTTCACTTCGGTATTATGCTAGGCCTAAACACTGTGCTGGAACTAAGGAATAAAAATCGGTATTACCTGATGACTAATCCAGACATGAAGCGACACAAATGAGTGCGACTTGTCAGGAATGCGAGCGGCTTTGGATGCGCCGCTGCTCCCTCATTACGTCAGGCTGCAAACACGCTGCTCTTTCAGCAGGCCGCTTACACGGACAACGAGGCGTTGGCGACGGTTGTCTTTGCAGTGGAATTTCTTCCCCACGTTTCTGCATTTTTTGCATTGCAGGAGAGGGGGCAGATCTCGCTCCTTCACGCTCCCATTCCCCATCCTCTCATGCGTGATTTTGTGCTCTTGGCGACTTGCCCAGCTGGGTGCACCCCCCACCTACCCCCGAGCCCCCAATCCCCATTGCAGCCTGGAGTCACCAGGTGTTAAATGATTAAAGATACAGGGGTATGCAGGATGTGGCACATGGTGAGGGGTATAATGTGGTGCCACTATAACACCCGCTGGCCCTCTGACCTCTTTAAAACAGCATCGGTTACAGCTTATGCTCCGGACCGTGTGCACAGGTATTTTTCGGGGGGAAGATATACTGAGTGGAACAGCTCATCGGCCTGAATTTCTGCCATGTGAACGAGGAAGAGAGATAGGGAAGAAAAAAAACCTTCCCCACAGTCAAGGGACAGGAACACAGGCCTTACTATGCCTGAGAAACAGAAGGACAAGACAACTTTACTGTTAAATTTAACAGCACGTCACCCCTTCCAGAGTGCCCTATTCTTCATGCCTTGCATTTCCTGCCATAGTGTTCAGGCTTGCAATGCAGAGGATAAATGGTTAAAGCAGAATCGGGGAGGGGTCACGGTTCTTAAGATTGCCAACCTCTGACTCTTGGGGGTGATCAACCTCCTGCACATCTGCTGCTGACCCCATGGCCTTAAGAAATGCTACTTTCTGTATAGAATCTGACCTCATAAATGCCTAACAGAACTGCCAGAAAAAGAGGCTTCAAGGGAAAACTGCATTTAAACTAGGAACAAAGACCGGAGTAACCACTACATCTAACAAAGCATAGAGAGCTCAGACTGGTTCCTCTTAATAAAACATAATACAAACACAGCTACAAGCAGCAAGTTTTGCTCACGGCTTTGAGCAAAAGCAAAATCCATAAGCTTGTTTGTCATATTTACAGATAGATCAAAGTTTAAAAGTTGCTTGTGAAACAGAATCTGCACGTATAAGCAGTTTGCAAGACAGCAGCACTGATGTCCAACAATCAATGATGTCTGGAGTCATTTTCCCCTAGAGTCATGCCTGGCTAAACGGATTCCTTTCACTTGTTCTAGTGATAAGGTTTCAAAAATCATTTAGCTTTACAAGACTGTTGAAAGTGTCACCCAAACAATCGGGTGGCTGTGCTAGTCAGAGAAGTGGAGTTCATTTAGGGGAAAAGAAAACCCGTCTGAAAACCAGAACAGCAGCGGCTACTCATTGTCCTGCTCTTTGCCAGAAGTCTCCTCTGTTGACTGGAGTTGAGACGTTAAAGCTACGCAATGCACTGATTGAACACCTAGAGCCCATTACCAATTTCACACTATAGCATCACGCTGAAAAATCTTCATACGTCAATTCTGGCCAGATCTGCCACTGAGAGATCTCACTAATGGGATAATAATCAGTCATTGAATGGGTCTTATTTTTATGTGATGGATTTGACCAAAGTTGGGAAAGTTACCAGACAATTAATTAAAAAAAAAAAAAAAAAAAACTGAAAGGTCACACAAATGAAAGTGTAAGATGTTAGCTGTGTGACTTTAGAGAATGTTTAAAGATCTTCCAAAAGGTTCCCAAGTACTACGTCTGTCACCCAAATGGGTAATGGCCTGGGCAAAGTTTCTGTTTGTACGAAATCCTTAAAAACTGGGAGGATAGAGAGGCTGAATTCGTCTGAAGCCAAGGAATCTTCAGAATAATGTTGTCCAAAGAAAAAAGAAAAAATTCACAGCCCACAAGTTATTTCCCAAAAATGAGGTATACAGTATGCATTGCCTCAGCTATTGCATATAGTTTTAAATGAGAAGCCATTTTTTGCCTGGTTTTTCTCTTTACTCAAAACCCTTCTATTGACTAAAAAGTGCTGTTAGGAATAACGAGGGCTGCAAAGTCGAAATGCTTCTAGCAGCTTATTGCTTGGCCACGTAACACCAGAATTTCATTTTGAAATCAAATCCCCAAGTGATTAATATATTACAAGTTACAATGTGTTTTAAGGGTTTCCTAATAAACTCTGACACTACCAGGTCCGGAAAGGTGCATGTTGAGGGATAATCCTCAATGAGATTACAGCCTTATAACTCATGTCGACAAACAAGATGCGAAATCGACACATAACAAGATTGTCTGTGTTATCAAGCCAGACTATTAAAACCAAGCACAGTATAGTTCACGAGTACACCTGATCGTATAAGAGCAGACAGCAGCGAGGGTGGACAAGGCATACTCTGCATTTTAAGATACGGAAATCAATGTCTAGTCTCTCGAATGATGCTCGCAGCACGCATTCAGAGTTACGCCATGTACAGCAACTACCCCCCATGAAAAGCCGTCTAACCTACAAACCTCCATCGAAAACGGTGCGTACCGGGCAGCGCAGGTCCATGTGCCGCCCGGATCCCGTCCCTACTCCCTCTCATCGGCCGCATCTGCGGCGGTGCAGTAAATGTGGGCAAAGACCCCAACCGCGGAAGACGGGACAGACTGAGCTGCACTAAGGTTTCATTTAAAATGAGAGGGAAGATCTCAGTAAAACATAAATTTTAATTGGCTAAAAAACCCCAACATCTGTGATCAGTAGCCTATTAATAATATATATTGTAATTTTCCATCGAAAAGGGGGGTGTGATAGACGATGAAAAGCGAAGGTGATATAATGGACTCGGCTCCGCTGGTACCCGTGATGCTGTCTAACAAAGTCCACGTCTTCGATCAGGAGATCCAAGCGGGTCGGCGGACTTAAGGCGTAACACCCAAAAACCCAGCCCAGCCCGAGGCGGTACATGCAGTCGCCCTGCCGAGTGCACCACAGGCAGGGGAATAAGCAGGCCGGCCAGATCTACTCGGTAAATTCACTGACCCCACCCCCCCGGCAATGCGCTGCATCCGATCGGTGATCCCAAAGGGGCGCAGCATCAATCGCCTCTACGACCCGAGAGAGACAGCCGGACGTCCCACGTAGAAGCAGCCAGCCACCCACCCAGCACCGCCGCGAAGGCGCACATCCACCGGAGAACGCAGCTCCATTTTGTCAGCGCCAAGCACCGTTTCACGAAGCCCAATGGCCCTGAACATTCATTTAAGTACGACAAGCTTTCAGAATAAGACCGACGCTGAGCGATCGCCATTGCACGTTTATAAAAAAAAATCACCAGGTAAGTAAAAAACATAACCAGGTACATATTACAAGAAATACCACATGCAAATCACACTTGTTTCTCCTCGATGAAAATCCTATCTTATATGTCCCGTACCTATGACTTACATTCGAAACCCATCCCCATATGACAGTAGAGTACATCGATTCAAAATACATACCATGTCGAGTGGAGCTAAGTCCTCTAGGTACTAAGCAAACCAGACAGCTGCTTGGATCCGAGTGTAATCTCTGGCCGTGGGCTGAAGGTGTGTATCTGCTTCTGTCAATATCTCCGTAAATGTGTATTCCTCCGCCGCACGGCCACTCATCACGAACTTCCTCATTTCCGTTCCGCAGGAACCATTTCGAAGCTCCTCCCACTGAGCCGTCAAAAGAGGGCGGGGACGAGCACGTCGGAAGTTGTCTCCGGCTCGCGTTTCCGTGAAGTGAGTGTCGCTGCGGTAAACCATTCGAATCGCGAAAATACCTGTCATAAACACTGTGCTGAATAACATGATGCATAATAATGTCCAGATGTAATTAATGGGAGAACTCATATAGTCTGAATATTTGCAATACAGCACGTGTTCTGCGTACAAGTACCAAGTTCCTTGATAAAGTTCATAAGGGGTGACTGCATGCGAAGGAAGGTTCCTAACACTTGAGGTCAACTGTTGCGCTGAACCCAAGACATGACATGTTGTTTATATTTTAATTTTACTAGTATATCCAGTTAGAATATTTAAGAGATGCTATATATTTATCTACTCATTAATTGTATAGAATATTAATATCAAACACGCAAGAGTTTTGGTTTCATGTTTTGAAAAACTATAATTCTTACAGTCAAACAATGAAAGTGAAGATTTAAAAGAAGGCTTCCCTAGTCATCGTTCCGATAAACATGATTAGCTCAAAAATGAATATGCTGTAACTCGTTTCTTGAATGCATGAATTATAGAAACGTGTACTTGTTGCAGTTACATGTCGCAGTGACCGTATTTGAACTGGGTAGTTGTTAACGTGAATATCAACTTTTCACAATTGTGGATTTAGCCCGCAATTTGTTTTCTAGTGTCAATCTTTTTAATGGATATATTCTCGTAACATACTGAAGAAAGCAGCTAAATGGGATAAATTTGCCTCATAAGGATCCACTATTGCGCAATATGTGCCAACAATTGCATGATCAGTATGAACAATGCCCAACTAACCACACATTTTGTTGCTGGGGGTGATTTCTAAGATATCACATTTGCCCGTATAATCAGTAGGAAACCACAAACAACAATTTATTACTTTCCGTAAAGCATTCAATTTCACTCAATCAATGCACTATTTAATATCAGCGGAAGGATACTTCCTGGTTGACGCCGGAGACATCGCGACGCTCTCTGTGACGGCGCAGCCTATTGGTCAGAGGAAACCTGCAATGTTGTACACGGTGTGTTGTCGCGAGTTATTGGCCGTGTAAGACCCGCAATGCGCCAAGCAGTGGCGCTAGGTGGAAGTGGGATGAATGTAACCTCATAAAAAAGACAAAAGCCGTTTCATGCGCTTTAACATTTTTTTACGAGTTTATTATTTGGCCAGGAGTTACGATTCCTGTTTCAGTACGGTTTCCTACGTGAATGCATGGATTTTTGGACGCACTATACGGAAGTCACTGTACCTGTGGACGGCGAACGTAGACCAATGGGGACTAGATACTGGTTACTGTAAACCGCATAGTTGTATGTTTTTCGTTTAGAGAATCCGCAGTTGAATAAAAAAAAAATAATACTTTGGGTTCAGTCCAACCGCGTGGTAGGTGAGCGAATTATTCGTTACGGACAGAGCATTCTCTGCTCATAACAGTAAAGTGGAAACTGCCTCAAACTTTAAAAATCTTAACGGAGAGTTTAAACTCTCCTTAGATTAATGGTAACTAATATCATTGACGAACACTGGATTAACAACCGAAAACAACACACATTTGATTGAAACGATTTAAAAAATTAAAGATCTGACTAATTTTATAATACGTTTCTATTTCTGTTTTCTCGTCTCTATTTCGGTGGGCATAAAGAATCTATAGTGTGAACTTGTCTTTAAGCACATTTACATCTTATATACCACAAGAAGTCAGACACACAATTACTAGTTCAAATGATATTTTACTCATTGTCCTACGAACGCTACATTATGATACAGAGGGAAGTTTAGCGAGACAACACAGGTAACCTATCTGGCAACGTTTTTGAATATATTTAATACCCAGAATTCCAAGTTGCAACTATTAAATCTAGTTCTGTGCTTGAATACCTGCACATGCTATACTAAAATACTGCCACAGTATTCTGGAATCATAGTGAGTATTTCCCATGACAGTATTTCAGTGACAGATAGTAGCAACATAACAATTGTTCTATTTTTGAGACACATATTTAACCTGGAATGTTGTAATAATAATAATAACTAATAATGCAGGCTGCTCATTAAATAAAGAGTTAAAAACAGCGCACCAGTGTGTCTGGGTGCACTGCAGACTCAATGCAGGTGAAGCATTGGAGTCTTTTGACTAAACGCCAAGAGGAGAAGCCCTTGGTCAGATGGGTCAGGACAGAAGAGGTTGTTAGGAAGGTGGGGGCTGCTATTGCAGGCAGCAGTGCAGTTACTCTCCAGCCCTGAGCACGTGCATGGTGAGAGTGGCCAGTCTGTTAGAAAGACTGTTGTGCTTTTGCAGCACGGAGCTGGGGAAACCATAGAGGTCTTATGACCCTCAGCATATAGGGGTCCCTCCTCCATTTTGGCCCCACCCTTTTTGTAATGTGACACAGCCCCCAAATGGGACACTGATATAGAGTAATGGCTCCTGGATTTCTGTCTGTCATCCACATACAGTAATAATAATTAATAATAGGTAACATAAAATACATTCACACTTACTCTTGCTTTATAGTAGCAGAACATTTACAAAAACAGAGTCTTTTGACAACAAGCCACAATCATTGAGGATATAACACTTTCGACATAATGAGACAGAAGCTTCTGTTTTAGGCACGTTTAAGACAGTTTATACTCAAGTCTGTAGGACTGTAGTGGGGCATTTTGACATCCAATTTATAAAGTGACTTTTCAGTACAAGTTCTTAACTTTGTTTTCGTGTCATACAGCTGGTTTATAACCCACATGGTTCTCGTCCCCGAGGACCGATGGAACAGGTTTTGGCATCGGATCTCCGCTGTGACTCTTAGATGCCTGCTGGCCGCTGGCTCTGCCACGCTGGCGAAAAAGCAGAGGCTGCGGCCTGGTGGTAGGTGTCCCCCCACCTAAGCTGACGTGTTTCTGCAGAAGGTCAGCAAGCTCATAATTATAGCTCTGTTCTATTTATCGTAAATAAAACCAGAGCACTACAAACACAAACGTACCACACTTCTTAGTTACCTTTGGTTTTCACTTTAGAAGTAATGTTATGGGCTGATCTCTAAAGGGTCTAACACTAAGGAGTATCTAAAATCTCAAAGTATAAAAATGCTCATAAACCTCATTGTTGCTTCATTCCTTAATGTCTTTCTTTAATGTTTTATTTATTCTCTAGAAATTTTAGGGTGGACAGGGGTAGCTAACCATGAGTGTCTCAGTTCAGTCCAGCCATTACAATATTGAAGCACAAATAAGCATCATTGGAGTGTTACTTCATTGCACATGGTTGACGGTATTCCTCGTTAGCCCAAGCATGATTTATACCATGTCCAATCCTTCTGATGCCGCTACATGTGTGTAGTGCTGGGTTTGCAGTTCTAACCTACCAGTTCTCCATCTGGCCGGTGGTGCAGTTTGAAGTCAGATGAGCCCTGGCTCTGAAACTGAGACAGACTGCATTTCAAAATATGCAGGTGTGAAGAATCGTCGCAGAATTACCTTCTGAAATCTGCGAAAGTGAATGCCTTTTTAAAATTTACGTAAGTTCCCTAAATGTCATGTGCTTTTCTTATTAAACGCCTAAAAAAAGAATGGAGCCTTTACATTCGTAAGCCTACTCAAAGGTGTGATTTAACACTTTCTGTTATCTGCTATAAAGAGTGTAATTTATTCTGCATTATGGAAGGGAAAAGTTCTCTTGTAGATCTCTTATCTACAGCTGGTTAAATTGCTGTATTTCTTGTTGTCATGCTGACAGGTTGTCATGCAGACTTTCATCTTATTTGCTTCAGTAAAACAAATTGCATGTATATCTCAAGACTAGTTTTTGTGTTTAGAGAAGATGTAACTTTTTAGTAGTAATGGAAGAAATGGGGCTTGAAAAATGACTGTGGGTGGAATGATCATGTGTTTCAATAACTTGCTGGTTTTATTCTTTTTGCAGAGTGATGCAGTGGTTAGCACTGTGGGCCTCACACCTCTGAGACCAGGGTTCCATGGCTCCATGTGTGGAGTTTGCATGTTCTTCACGTTTCATTGTGGGGTTTCCTGTAGATACTCCAATTTCCCCCTACAGTCCAAAAACAAGCTGAGGTGAATTGGAGTTACCAAATTGCCCATAGTTGAGCATGTATGAGTGAATGGTGTATGAGTGAATGGTGTATGAGTGAATGGTGTATGAGTGTGCCCTGTGATGGGTTGGCGCCCCAGCCTGGGTTGTCCCCTGGCTTGCACCTGTGGCCTCTGGGATAGGTTCCGGATCTCCTGTGACCCTGAATAGGACAAACGGTTGCAGAAAATGGATGGAACCCTTTTTGCATTAGTTGCTCATTGTCATTGGGATAAATTGAGAGTGACTGACATTACATATTAAAGCCACGAAATGTGGGTTTCAAAGCTTCATTTTTATTCAGTAATTTATATGAAATATGAAATACTTTTGTATATGGCAAACTGACATCTTGTGCAGGGTGTTCCAATCTACTTTTTGGGGTGGGCGCCAGGCTCACGGTGACCCTGTACAGGATAAAGGATGGATGGATGGATGGATGGATTGATTGATTGATAAGTGCATGAGTCACCCTACAAATTGTGATTAAATTGCGTTTAGTTTACACATTTGAATGAAGACTAAAAACTACAAAAAAAAAATACCTGCAGGAGTCTGAAGTATTTGCCCAGTATAAACCACACCTGATATGGTCAGGTTTGTGTTTTTCGTGGAGTTGATGGGCTTAGGCGTACAGTACAGTATGTTGAAGCAGTGGTTGAACTGGCACGGTAAAACATATTTGCAAGGCAACACATCATGAGTCATATCATGGATTTACTAAATTATACTGAGCTCTGTATTTGACGATCAGCTGCTGCATTTCTAGCTCATGGGCATGTTGTTTTTTTTTAAACAATAAATATGAACAATATTAGGTTCATTCTCCCAGAGGAAGGTCCTTTCAGTATACAGAGAAATAGATGGTTAAGCCTTGGCTCTGCATTTTGGAGTGTTAGGGTTTATGTCAGATGGTCCCTCTCCTTCAAATTCCTCAGCGGTCATCAGGTTCTCGCTGGTTTAAACAGATGACAGAATGGAGGAGCAGAACTGGAGAGAAAATGACACTGAATCTCATCCAAGGGAGGCTGGCCTGTGACTGGTAGAGGACTATGTGGTTTGTTTGTGTGTTTGTGTGTGTGTGTGTGTGTGCCTGTTCATATTGACAATGACGTGCTTTCCTGCAAAGTAATTTTAAACGCTGTTTATACACCATAGCACAATATATTACAAATGAACAAAGTACTGGATGATATGTCAAATAATATAAGCAATAATTATAAAAAATAAACGTGTTGGTATACTGTTTCTGTAGATTAAAATGAAAACTGAGTTTCTACAAGCAAAATTAATGCAGAGCAAAATTCAAAGAAATCCAGGTATGGCGTAAAACAGCATGCTAGACAGTGAAGGGAAGAAAAACAAAGAAATGCAATACAAATGAAGCTTGATCTTATCATGCCGGCTGCTTTGCTACAATATCGCTATCAGGTCAGCAGTTACAAACCTGTATGGCTACTATTAATGCGACTATCAAGAGAACTTAGGGTGGCTAAATATCAGGACAAGCCATAATTTAATAATGAATCTGGAGCGGCAGTCAGGATATGACTCTTATGGAAATTAATCATCAGCATAATCATAATACATTGTAAACACTTACAATCATCTCCTGCTTTCCATGCCAGGAGAAAATTAAATAAACAGGGAACTAAAGGTAGGTATGGCAGACAGGAAGGATGAGCAAAGAGGAAGAAAGCCTCGTGTATATAAACGTATAAGCGTGAATAATTTCACCAGCGGAAAAAAATACGTTACTGAGCTATTTGCTGTGTGTGGTGATGTGAGGTGTTGATGAGGAGCCAAATATGTACAGTGTGGAGAGCTTCTTGTTTCCCAAAAGCATTAAAAGCAGAGTCATAAATTGCTTGTAGAATCACATGACATGGGATTCTAAGATTCTCCATCTATTGGGAACGGCCATACCCCTTATGGGATGTGGTTATTACAATTTTGACTAGAGAGAGTTTTGGGCAGAAAGGACTATATCCACCAATCTCACCATCTTCAACAACAGCTTTTCCAGTGCAGGGTCACAAAGGTCCTGGAGCCTGGGGCAGGATGCTTAGGGTATGAGGTAGGGGACTCTGGGCTGTTGAAGAATGACCAAGTTAGAACATTAGAGAAGGTCGTGCCTCCAGTTTATGCACCGATGTTCTGGTGCTTTATCAAGGAAGCCCAAGTGATTTGCATGCAGGAGAATTAAACCAGGTCACTAGTCTTAACATGGAATTTCTCTGTGATGTGTATTCATTCCCTTCTGTGTAGTGTTGATGGAAACTGGTTTCCTGCCTTCTTGGTCTGCATTAGTGTCGCTTTTCATTCCTTTTTTCTCAGTTAAAAACAAAGGTTTGGCTCTTCTTAAACCACGTTTATTTAAACTTCAGCCACAAGAGCCACCTAGTGGTCAGACAAAAAAATGGAGGAAGCAGATGGAGCACCCCAGTGAAGGGAGCAAGGAGTAAAAGAAGGGAGCAAAGATGGAGAGATGAAGAGATGGAAGAGCAAAGGAGAAAAACTATCTGGATGGAAGGATGTGGCGGAGGGGAGGAGATGGAAGCGGAGTGGATAATGGTGGAGAAAATGGGATAAAAGAGGTGAAGGTACAGAGTAATCGAAGGAAGCGGGCAGCAGAGGGAGAAAGAGGGCATATAAGGAAGGATAGATGGGAGGGTGAAAGGAGAAGAGGAAAGTAGGGCAGTGAGCTAGGGGCATGAGATTATGAAAGGAGGCATCGTGTACAAAGGAAAATGGCGATCAGGAGGAAATGCTACCCATTAAAAAAGGAGGGCTAAGGTGAATACACAAGCAGATTATTAACATCATTCCTTAACAGAAACTCCTGCTTTTACAGTAAGGATGAAGCAGGTGTTTCATCCTGCAGTTTGGATGAAAAGGCCGTTGCATACGTCCTCTGTTCATTACATATTCAAACCATGGGATAAAAGAGATGATCAGAGATCAGTAAGTAATAGCTGAGGACACAGCAGAGGGACAGGGGGAGAGAAAGCAGCAGCACCCCCTGGGATGAGGCCCTTACGGCGGGCTCTTCTCCAGCATCACACTCTCCAGCGCTGATTAGCCCACCACGACGGCACGGCTGATTGGCTGCAGGGCTGAATACCAAACAGGGCCCAGAGATTTTCTCAAGGGCTGTTGGCATACGAAAGGGAGATGGAAATGGAATTCCAGGGAAACCGTGCAGGACTGTGGAGCCACGGCCGTCCTTTGGTGAAGCTCGCAAATAATAATTCCAAAAATATTGGATGCTGATCATCATTTTGATGTTTCCAGACCTTGTGCTTTGTTATGCATTTAGAGCTTGAGTTCTGTTATACCACAGAATTTAGCTTTCTTAATAACTGACAGTAAAGTACTTTATATTCAGAAAGCTAACACTGAGTGAAGGTCAGTTTGGAAAACAAAAGGATCTTTATTTAATTAGAGCTATAATTAGCATGGCCTGGTGGCCCAGTGGATCACGTTGTAGCCCCACTTCGCCTGGGATGGTGGTTTGAATCCGTCCCAAGTCTCTCTGCATGTGCAGAATTTAGATGTGTTTTTGTGTGGTTCCTCCCACGCTCCAAAAACATGTGAGTAGGTGAATTGGGGCCTGTACATTTCCCATTGTGTGTGTGATTGTGTCAGTGTGTCCCCTGTAATGGACTGGCATCCTGCCCAGTAAGTGCCCTGCCTTGAGGCCCACAGTGACCCTGTGGAGGATAAGCAGGTGTGGAAGATGGGTGGGGATATTTGGAGCCAAGCGATTTGTGATCAGTTTAAGCAATTAGTCTGTGATTAATTTACAATTTTGTTAATTCATAGTGGTAGACTGGTTCATGTAGCGACCTACAGAGATCTACAGTGACCCATACAAGATGAGAGCCACCTATGTAGAGTCTAAATCCTTTTGTATAGATTACATTCAAATCAGTGAACTTCCACATGGTAAAGTATAAGGAGTTTACTTTTATCTTTCATCCATCTCTCAATCTTCCCACTGCCTATCCTGGTCATGGTCCTGGGTTGTGAGTTTGCTCTGCAACAGACCGGCGCCCCCACAGTCCAGGGTGTCGCCCACCTCACGCTTATGCACCAGGACCATCAGACCATTAGCCCCTGCGGAGTATCTAAGCGTCCTGCCACCATTGGCCACCAGGGGCACCGTTTTCCAGAAGCTCCTCGGCACGGTCTGTTCCCTCGCCTGAAAAAATTGCCCTGACTCATTCACAAGATGCAAATTTACATCAATAATTACAAAGCGGTCATGTGTCATCGCTCTGTCACGAAACAACAGGTGTCCGTCATGCTTGATCAGCGGCAAGACTCTGCTTCGTTCAGTAATTGCTCAAGGAGAAAGTCCACCATGGACAGCTGAAGCAACTTTGGCTGGTGCTCCAGACACCAGCAGTGCTTCTTCTTGAGAATCGGTACAGGGTCAAAGAGGCTTTGGATCACAGTATAAAGAAGGAAAAGTTCATAAGAAATAAAAAACATTCTGTGAAAATAATGGTTAAGGGAGCCACCTAGTGGCCGTGCAATGTAAACCATGACAGAAGGACTAGGGCAGGGGTCACCAACCTTTTTGAAACTGAGAGCTACTTCACGGTTATTGAGCCATATGAAGGGCTATCAGTTTTAAACGCCCTCCTAAACTTATCTAAACTTCATGTATAATATACATGTTTTAAATGCTTTTTTTAGATATTGTCATTTTCAAATCTATATAAATGCAAATGTGATTAAAGAAGAATAGCAACAGGATAAAATAAAATTTTAGACGCTGCTCACTGATGAGTTGTGCTATTTTTAGAACAGGTCTGCGGGCGACTCGTGTGGTCCTTGAGGGCATCCTGGTGCTCACGGGCACCATACCATGTGGGTGACCCCTGGACTAGAGGAATTCAATAGGTTCCCAAAGTATGATTTGCAGAATATGCTACTAAAAATTTAAAAGCAATTGGTGTCATCTGCGGAGGAGGAAGACAACGACCAACAACACATCACCCCCCCCCCGACCCGCTGCCCCTTACCCCAAAGAAAATAGGGGTCTCAGATACTGTTATTTAGGGGGTTTATAAACCCATGCGGTTGAACAATGCATCATTTAGCACTGCAGCCTCAGGTTTGACGACCCCCAGCTGTGTGTACAGTTCCGCCTGCTCCCCGTGAGTTTCCTCTGGATACCCAGCATTCACTGCTTTCCACACTGACTTGCTTAGCACACACTTAACCACCAGCCGGTATAAGATCACATTAAGCTGCACTGCATTTGCACACAGGTCAGTCCCAGGCTGGGTCACCAGGCCCTTCTCTATTAGCTGATGGATCAGAGGCTAATTAGGTAATTAGATGCCATGGACAGAAAAGGTAGAAAAGCTTTGATTTGTAACTGGCAGACCCTGTTAATCAGTAATTAGAACATTAATCACTGATGAAGATACAGTTTCAGGAGCAGCTGGCAACTCTTCAGCAAATGTTAGTGCTCTCTGACCTGCAAGTTCGGTACTGTGGTGAAGTTTCGGCCTCCTAGACATTTTCCACAAAAGAAAAAGAGCAGCATCCTGACGGGCAGCCCCACTCTGATGGGGTCTCGCACTCCTGCAGCACTCCCTGGGATGAGGGCCTTAAAGCCGGTGCTTCTCCAGCATCGCGCTCTCCAGCGCTGATTACCCCTCCGCGACGGTACGGCTGATTGGCTGCAGGGCTGAATACCAAACAGGGCCCTGTGATTTTCTCGAGGGCTGTTGGCGCATGAAAGGGAGATGGAAATGGAATTCCTTGCAAACTGCACAAACACAGTGGTGGTATTCAACCCACCAGGCCCCCAGGTGTGAGGCTACACTGCAACCTACTGAGCCACCATGCTGATAATCAAATGCCATAAATGCAAATGTGGAGTTCACAATAGACGCTATCCAAAGGTCAAAATGCGCAAAAGAATCGAGTGCTACAGGCTTTCATGTTGTGACATTTATTATCTACCAAGCAGTATACAGCCCATCATCAGGTCTGGTACTGAACAAAACATATTATGCACATATCAAAATGGTTACTGATCTCGGGGTTAATGCATCACTTTGTTGTAACACGAAATGGCAATGATATCAAAGGTAGAGCCCCTCTGGGGTTCCCTCCTGCTTCTTGTACAAGACGTTCTCTTTTGACTTCTTGAAGTCCTCGTTGGTGACCTTCATCCTGCGTTCTCTCAATGCCATTAGACCAGCCTCTGTGCAGATAGCCTGAGATGGGACAAACGCAACACGCCTATTAAAGACAGATCACCCAAAGACAGATGACATGACATAAGATATACAAGTGGTCTACACCATAATGTAAAGACCACACAGTGATCTACACCGGCACGGTCAATCAACGTAGAATAAACCTAGATTTTAGCCTAAACATTTTCACAAACACTTATTCAATTCAGATTCTAATGCAGCAGGCAGGCAACTTTATGGTTAATAATGAATGCGTTTAGCAGCTACAAGGACAAAAGACATTGAAAAGCTCTCCATTCTAATGTTAATTTAATAAACACGAATAGACAGCATACAAGGGTGGTTTTGCTTATTCTGGCGGCCCATCATCTAGAATAGCTCCTGTGTGTTCTCTCTCCAGACGCATGGTACGCCATTGTGCGTTGCAGTGTACAACCACCTTTCTGTTTCGTGATAATTTGAACTAATCCCATAATTACATAGTGATATTTAAACATTTGTTATAATGAATTGAAGTGCTTTACAAATCATAAATGTAATTATGTTAAAATAAAAACAAGATGTGTCGATTTAAAATATTGATGTCGACCCATATTCAGCGTCGAGGTCGTCGACTACATCGACTCATTGTGGCAGCCCTAGTAAAGACCACATTGTGATCTACATTGTGAAAGAGGGCCCATGCTGTGTTCTACACCATGACATAAAGATCATACTGTGATCTACACCATGACAAAGGGGCATGCGCCATTGTCTATAGAGTGATGCAGAGCATGCGCCATTGTCTATAGCGTGATGCAGAGCATGCGCCATTGTCTATAGAGTGATGCAGAGCATGCGCCATTGTCTATAGAGTGATGCAGAGTATGCGCCATTGTCTATAGAGTGATGCAGTTAATGCGCCATAGTCTATAGCACAGATGGACTCCAATCCTGGGGGGCGGAGCCCTGCATATTTTTGGGTTTCCCCTCATTTAACACACCTGATTCAACTTCTTGTGCTAATTACCATATAGCTGTTGAGCTGAATCATTTGTGGTGGAACAGGGAAAGAACTAAGCTACACTGGGCTGTGGCCTCCCAGGACTGCAGCTTGACACCCCTGGTCTATAGACTGATGCAGGGCATGCACCACTCTTCAAATTTTATTAAGTATTTATTTCCTCATAAGTACTAGCATTATATATTTATCTTTTAAATATTTCAATATTGTATTTAATCATCAAAGAACAGATCTACTGTGTAACAAACACAAAAATACCTTTTTAAAACATTTTCAACACTTTTCGCAGTACATCACCTGTTCTGTGCTGTATTCATTTAAAATGCATCCTTAGCAAATTACTACAACACAAGCATCTTCATGCAATGTTGATGAAATTACTAATTAATGGGCAGTGGTGGCTTGATGGTTAGGGTAGCACACTTGTAATTGAAAGATTGCAGGTTCGAATCCCCCACCAGCAAGTCACCACTGAGGTACCCTGAGCAAGGTACCGTCCCCAAGCACTGCTCCCCGGGCGCTGAATTAGCTGCCCCCTGCTATGTCACGAAAGTCACATATGGGTCAAATGCAGAGATCACATTTCGTTGTTGCGCACTGTGTGCTGTGGTGTGTTGACAATGACCACTGATCACTAAATTCTAATTCTAATTCTAATAATTAACAATTGCAGATTGCCTTCTGTTCTAGACCTGTTCACTATATGTTTCTTTAAAGAATTTCTCTCTCCTCAGGACATTAAAACAATTATTTTGTGAGAAATTGATCTGGGTTTTCAGCCAGCTACATGTCTAACAGACAGCAGGTGTGACAAGAGTCTGGTGGTCCATCATATCTGAGGATCTTAACCAGATTAATGTGATTCAATTCTAAGCCACAACCTCCCACTAGGGGGCAGAAGAAGCAAAGAAAGCAGTAGAGTTAAAAACCCCACTATAAAAATATAACAATTTACAATATAATGTATCCGATATAGTTATGATATATACACCAAATCAAAGGCCTTTATCTGTGACAAATTAACAAAGATAAGCTATGCACAATCATACCTTGATGTCAGCTCCTGAAAGGTCATCTTTGGCTAAGATGAGGTCATCCAAGGTCACGTCCTCCGCCACAGTCATCCTGCTGGTGTGAATCTGAAAGATCCTCCTCTTGGTTTTCTCATCGGGCAGCGGAAACTCAATCTTGCGGTCGATTCGTCCTGGAAAGAGGGGCCCACAAACGGGATGAGCGACGGTAACTAAAAGGACGGGAGCTCTGATCTCGCAACATACCACATTAGTGCTTTTTTAAGTGGGTTTTTTAAAGTCAGAGTACCTTGCGATCAGAGTGTGAAGCGAACCTTACAGCTCAGAATGTTTCATCTAGCACCTGACACACAGACAAAAGCCAGTGCACAGGAATGACCCCACTCTACTTCTGCATTTGAGGGGCTATTTTTAGTACTGCTGTATTTCAAGATGTGTACACCATGGTCATATCTCTGGTGTGGGAGGTGTGCGTTGGGTCAAAGGGTCTGCGGTCTGGTAGACTGCACCTGGGCGGATCAGGGCAGGGTCCAGGGTCTCTATTCGGTTAGTGGCCATGATGACCTTGACGTCCCCTCGTGAGTCGAAGCCGTCCAACTGGTTGAGGAGCTCCAACATGGTCCTCTGGATCTCACGCTCCCCACCTGAATTGGAGTCATACCTGTGCAGGGGGCAGGCCGGTCAGAATGTCAGATCCGTAAACAACTCCACCCAATAGGAAACAGCACACGGCTGGGATTATTAGGTTCAATTCCAAGACAATCTGCCAAGCAGCAGAATTCTTCAGGCCCCTAAGCATTTGGATCATTATGCAGGCTTTATGGAAGCACCGGCTTCAGTAAGAGGGACTGCTTTGACGGGGGATCAAGGCATTGAGCACCTCTTGGTCCCGATGGCATCGATCTCGTCGATAAACACGATGGAGGGCGCATGCTCCTCGGCAACCCTGAAGAGCTCCCTCACCAGCTTGGGCCCATCACCAAGGTACTTCTGAATGAGCTCGGAGCCCACCACACGCAGGAATGTAGCTGAAGTCTGGTTGGCCACCGCCTTGGCGAGCAGGGTCTTCCCTGTGATGACATTACCCCATGACATGATCATTACCCCATGACATCACAGGTACAGAACCATCACTGACCACAGTCGAGAAAATAATGAAAATAACAGCAATAAATGGCGAAAATAAAAAAGAAATATGTTGGGTGACAGGATGTTACTGTACATCTAGGTGGAGAAACCAAGGTTCATCAACTGCTGCAGTATCTCCATGTTTCTGAGTTTCCTTTCAAGTAGGAATTTACACTTGGAACACCTGATAGACCATTCAAGCTGCACTGACATCCCGCTAAAGGTACTCAAAAAGGAAGGCTAACTAATGGAAACTCGTAGCAGGCCAGGATCCCCATCCAGAGCTTACACCCTGTCTTGATTAATATTTCAAAGGTTCTATGAGACCACTAGAGTACTCACCAGTGCCTGGGGGGCCATACAAAATGACCCCTTTGGGAGGCTTAATGCCCATCTCTTCATAGTACTCTGGATGGGTGAGGGGGAGCTCCACAGATTCCTGCAGGGTAGCACATCACAGTTGGTGGTGGGCATGGGATACACTACCAGTCGCAGTACCACTCACAGTGGGAGCGGATTACTCCCCATCACAGTATCAAACGCAGTGGGAGTGGATCACTACCACTCACAGTACCACTCACAGTGGGAGTGGATCACCACCAGCCACAGTATCACACACAGTGGGAGTGGATCACCACCAGCCACAGTATCACACACAGTGGGAGTGGATCACCACCAGCCACAGTATCACACACAGTGGGAGTGGATCACCGCCAGCTGCAGTATCACACACAGTGGGAGTGAATCACCGCCAGCCGCAGTATCACACACAGTGACAGACACTGTACCTTGATCTCCTGGATCTGGCTGTCCAACCCCCCAATATCAGCATAAGTCTCTTGAGGAGCCTTCTCCACTTTCATCACGGTGACCAGCGGGTCCGTGTCGTCCATCAGCACCCCAATCACAGCGTGCACCTGTGGACCACAGCAGCCACGTGGGTCAGAGCCACAAGTTGTTCTTTCTAAAAACCTTAGCAAATTCTATTACTCAGCATTTGGGTTAAAACAAAGGCTCTTCTGACTTATAAGTCACTCCTTGTTCATGGTTCTAAATACAGTGCATGTTCTGCTTCTTTTAAAATGAGTCTCAGCTTCTGGTGTTCAGGGCCCTACTCCCCCAAAATGACCACTGCTGTCAATGTTGGGGAGGGTGCTCTGCACCTTGTGGTTGAGCAGCACAGAGCAGCCAGGCTCCAGCAGATCTTTGTCCACAAAGGATAGGATGCTGACGTAGTGCTCCGAGCCCACAGATGTGGACACGATGGCGTGGTTGTCATCGATGATCTCTTCCAGGGTCCCCACAGACATAGGAGTTCCACGCAGGTCATCAACCTTTGATCTCTCCTCCTGGGAAACATGTCAGGCAAGGGAGTTGACAGAGCAGCCACATTCACAAGGACATTTCTCAAGCAAAACAGGTGTCCCGGGCACAGACCTCTTGCTTCTCCTCCAAAGGCTTCATCTGCTCTTGGTTTCGGATGAATTCCTCCTCCATCAACAGGTAATCTTTGATCCTCTCCTGTTTCAAAAGCTTAAGCCTACACTGTGTATGGGGGGTTACTGCACAAAGAAAACAACGTAAGAGCCCAACAGTGAATCCACTTCTCACACACAGTGTTAAAGGTGAGGAGAGAATACATACACACATAGGCCTACACATAAGATCTTACACACATCCAGAGCAGCACCATTAAAGACAGAGATAGAAGAGAAAGAGAAAGAGAGAGAGAGAGAGAGAGAGAGAGATGTACCTAACGGCAATTTGCTGGCAGCATCAGGTCCCTTTGTTTTTCGCTTCTTTTTTCCCACCCTGGTGGGAATCGGAGGTTCATATTTTTTCTTCTTATCCTTTAAAAGGGGGGGGGGGATCATTGGTTGGCATCTGAACAGTACAAAGGATCTTGCACGTGCACACTAAGTCAAGACAGTGAAGGAGTCACGTAGTATTTGCATAATTTAAGATGGAGAATAAAAATGCTACAAGATTAACTATCAGATACCTTTCATAAAATGTGGTTTGCTCAAAAAGAAGCAAATTCTCCATAATCCTGTTACTTACATTTAACTGAAAATTGGGTTCTCTCTAGTATATGTTAGCACTGCAGAGTTATTTACAGATTTTTTTTTCAGAGGGATACAAAGAACAAGACAACCCAAAATGACAATATTGGGAAAAGATGGAAATGATTCCTGATTTCTCTAGAAGGAAACTGATTCACAGAGAATTATAAGAGGCAAATGCAGTTATGCAGTAAACACTTCATATAAAATCTTCATAGATGGTAATAAATATTCAGTCATTAAACCAGAGGAGGAAAAGAGGGCACCATACCTTATCATCCTTTTTTCCACCCCCGGGGCCATGGCCACCACTCTGACTCTGACCCTATAATCAAACACAAACTGTAAATATACCGCACAGAAAGTAAACCCATCACATTAATAACCCTCCGCTGATGAAGGTAAATGAAACGCGGAAAGGCAAAGACTTGTTTCTGAATATAAACACAACCCCGCCAGAGAGTAGTATTGCAGGCAAAGTGGATATGCAGATATCTAAAAATATGTTTTAATGTAATGTTTAAGATCAAGGGTAAGGAGTTAGCAACAACTTAACACTAGCTAGTGGTAGAACAACCAACAAAAAAATCCTGCTTTAAATGTTTGACATACGTCAAATGCAACGTTTAGTATTATTACAAATTACACGTCACATTAGCTATGCATTTTTTAATTAACGGTTAATATTAGTCTGTCACAGTCAGCTTAACCAATGATCTTTGTTTTGTCTACGCCAGTACTTAGCTAGCTAGTATAACCAACAAGCAAAAGTCGACAAATAGCGAAATATAAACAGAAATTAAATATCAAGTTGAGTACAACAAATATCGAACAGACTGGCCATGAACATGACATTCATGTAGCTAGGGAACTATGTTACGACATTAAATCCCACAGCTACCTTACTTAAGTAGCTATGCAGGGAACATGCAGAAAAACTGACGTTTCAGGTTAGTTAGGAAGATGGTCAGGGAACGGGACTGATTGAAACTGTTAAACAACATACAACCAATTTCGAATAATCGTATTTATAAACATAATAGTATTTGATAATTATTTCTTCCAATAATAACTTCAGATGTAAATATAGCTTCAAATCATCAGGAAAACAGAAAATGCTGCCTCACTTACCATCGTTCTTGGTCTCGCTGAATATACGTCACACTACGGAGAGTAAAGTAGGACAAACATAGCCACTCGCGAGAACCTCTTGCAAGATAAAAAATGCGTGCGAAACTTTACTTTTCAGTAAGGGCGATCTTTTTCTGTCATTCGCATGACATTCTGGAATAATATGGACTTTTAATTGGAAACTGTACTTCTTTGATATCTTATATTCTACTTCAACCTGTTAAAGTGTTATATAAATACGACCTTTAATTATATTCAATATATATGCATTAATTATAACCATCCTGCCAAATATGAAAAGACATGAAATTTGGCATAGCACAACGGTCATCATGTATTTTTGTGTCCTGTTGGATTGTGTTGCATTAGTATTAGAATTAAATATTATGCCTATATTGAAGTATAGGCAGCACAAATGAGCTCCCAAGTTCCCAAGTCTCTCTTTAAGTCGAATGTAGGCCAGTCGGAAAAATAATAATACGGTACATAATAATGATACAGTAATAATAAAAGTATCTACGTAGGGCACTGTACTGTACCTCGAGCCAACGAACGAATTAAAGCGATGTTTTTCATGAGCACCACAAACTAGTTCCTGTGTTAGTTATTACGAACCATTGTATTTAAGCCGATTTTTTAATGTAATGGGCTTTATGGCAGTCCGTTTGCATGTACGAGGTTTCCGTAAGTCGGACGTTTTTAACTTGGGGTCTGCATGTGTGCATATTGTGTGCGCAACGGTATGGTCCAATGGGCTTTGATCCCATTTTTTAAAAGGCTTAATTTATTCTAAAAATACATTGCGATGTGACATTTTCCCAGTAAAACTCATTTAATTTTTCTACCTTGGGTCCTCTGGGTACCCCGGTTTCCTCTCACAACCCAAAAACGTGCACTGACGTGAAATTGTGTTTTTAAATTGCCTGTAGTGGTTTGTGGATTATGTATGAATGTATCTGGCGATGGGGTGGTATCCTGTCAAGGATGAGTCAGATTTATTAATCCACATCCCAATTACTTACATGGACTTCATAATGATCTCGTGACAATAAGAATATAACCAGGTCGCTGTGAAATCATTACTTCTTTCTTGCGTATGAAATCAAGTAGGCCTAAGATATTCATTGAGACTGCACACTGATGTCAGATCAGACTCAGTAATGAAGGCAGTTTGCCCTGGGGATATTAATTGCGGTTGGAAAAGTCAAATCTGTAGCCCAAACCCTCTATTCCAGGGAGTGATTCATAGCAGAATAATGATTATGAGATACGTGGACATTTATTTATTTGCTGTCGTATTATGAGAGCTCCTTACCAGACAGGCACTAGAATCTTTCCCCGGACACACGACTGTTCATATTCATGTTGTTCATATCAAATTGCTAGCCTATCGTGCAATATCTGATTCATTTAGTTATGTTTTGTTGTTCTTACTTACATTTTCTCACCCTGTTTGAAGGGTCAGACTTTACCTTTATCTTTACCTGTTGGTGCACCTGTATTTGAACTCATGTTCATACTTTGTTTCAGCTGATGTAGGTGCAGCAATAGAAAGTGTCGGGATGAGAGCCGCCGATAGACCTCAGTGTTCGCTTTAGCTTGCGGCAGTGATTAAAGGCAGAGGAAGGGCCTGGCAGGGTCATTTTTCTGTCTCTGGGTTTAATCGCCACTGACAAGCTGACACAGCGGGGATTGGACTGTAATTTTCCTGTGGGTTTTGCTTTTTGCCCGGCCTAGTATTTGGAAGCTCTGCCTGTTCTTTACAGTGAAAAACTATGCATTCTGCACGAAAGAAAGAAAGAAGTGATGGACCTTGTGAGAAAAAAAACTCACATGACCCTTTTGAATGATCTATTTATAAAATATCACCAATTGCAGAGTGTTAAAGCATTAGCTGTAATGGTATTGATAATTGTGTGCTAATGCATGTTGTCATTCCCAGTGTAGTTATAGTATGGAATAGTCTCCCTGTTAATATAGTGCAAGCTAAAACCCTGGGTTCCTTTAAATCAGAGCTAGATAAGATTTTAATAACTCTGAGCTATTAGTTAAGTTCTCCCCAAACGAGCTTGATGGGCTGAATGGCCTCCCCTCGTTTGTAAATTTCTTGTGTTTTTATGCGACATAAACTGCGGAACTGTTCATGTGTTTCATTAGACCTATAAAAAAATTCATACATACATACGTACATGCATATATACTGTATGTATATGTGTGAAATTATATATAATTAGATGCAGAAAAATAAATGCATGTTTATTTTCTGATTTTAAGTCCATTTTCAGTGCATTACTTTTTATGAAGCTCATAAAGGATGGGATGGAATTTTTCATTTTATATGTAACTTTGTAACCTTGTCCCTTCCATTTTCAAAGCACTTTATCCAGACAAAATGCTATATGCATTCTGTGAAAAAGAGTTATATTACATTTTTTTCATGCCTGTCAGCCAGTAGCCGCCGTAAATTGGTTTTCTGTATTTAACCCCAGATGTAGTGAAGGTTTTCTTGTATGGCTGCACGATCAGCTTCGTGTAAGGCTAAGACTTCCTTCTGCTCTTAAATGATATGTTTTGGCCATGATCTGATTGGGGCCTTTTTATGGTAATAATGGGGCCTGTATTTAATATAGCCTAGGCACAGACTTTTTGCTACCATGATTGATGAAGTGTATTATTAGTCTATGTAATAAACTGTTGATTGTTAGAAGGCACAGATTAGCTTAACTAGCTCTTGAAAACTTTTGTATTTACTGTTTATGTAGCTGTTGTACATTTTAAATAAGACATAATAATGTATTAATAAATTATAAGATAATGAGTCTTATGAGTCTCACGAAAATTGCTTAGTAACTGCTTGAACTGAACTTGCCAAACTAGCTAACTTGTCGATTGCAGAGAGTCCAGGGTAGTGATGGCCAACACAAAAAGCAGGAGTATATGATATTCATTTTGGTGTACCACATGGTTCTGTGCTTGGCCCTCTGTTGTTCTCTTTATATATGTTGCCATTGGGTAAAATTATTGCAGAGCACGGAGTCAGCTTCCATAGCTATGCTGATGATACCCAGTTATACATATCTGTAGGACCAGAGGATCCCAGTGCGGTAAGTAAACTGGTGAATTGTCTAGCGAGCATTGTTAGCTGGATTAATAGAAATGTTCTGAAATTGAATGAGGACAAGAGTGAAATTCACCTTGTTGGTAATGAAATGCAGAGAAAAAAGGTTCTTAATAGTCTGGGAAATCTGGCACTACAGACTAAAACTGAGGTAAAAAAACCTACTGTAGGAGTTATTTTTGATTCTGAGCTTACATTTAAGGCAGACATTGACAATGTTGTGAAAACTGCCTTCTTCCACCTTAGAAACATAGCTCGTATAAGACCATTTCTTAATCTGGAAGATGCTAAGAAG